AGTAAATAAAATCTTAATTTATAAAAAGCTAAAAAGTAAGTAACTATATTTTAATACTATTAAAAATTAAATAGTAAAGATTACTATATTAAGTATAAAGTTTTAACTTATTAATTAAAATATAATTTAACTACTATAAAAGTAAATTAAAAATAATTTAATATATTTAAAGAACTATATATTAGTAATAATATAAAAAGGAATTAATTAAATAGTAATAGTATTTATAGCTATTTCTTAAGTAATTCTCACAATAATCTGGCGACGGTCTCTAGTAGTGTCCATTGACCATTCTCACCAAAATTGAAAATACGCTAATAAAGACAGGGGTTAGTGTTCGTTGAAATTTCACGCGTAGAGACCATTGAACTTTTGTTTATCAAAAAAGAAATAATAAGCATGAAAATAACGCGTAAGCGCTTGTATTTAATTTTATTTAGGTTTTAGAGGAGAATAGTCAGACACTGAGGCGTATATACTAGGTATATCATTTACTTGTTACTGAAGTAAAGTTCATGTTACCAGGGTTTAATTGGTACAGAGTGAGATAAAGGTGGAGACTGACTGAAAAAGCAATTACAAGTCAAGCGAGCGCTGCAGACAGCAATGATTTATTACGGGAGGAACCCCAGATAACTAGAGTAGGTAGCTAGTAATCCAACGAGCCCAATTCACAATTCAGCATCAGAACAGCCGCCATAATGGATCCATTTATCCATACACGAGACTTACCATTTGTCATATGTAAGGTTTGTAAATTTAGCTATGTAGCTAATGAGGTACCCAAACATTTAAAGACAAAACATCCAACAATCCGACCGGCGCAGGCAAAGGCAATTAATGAAGCCATTACGTTAATTATAGGGCTAGCCCAGAGTCGAACAGATTTAAAGGACTTTAAGTTTCCTGACCCGTTAGACGAACCGATTCCGTACTTAAAGCCGCCGACACCGAACTGCAAGAGGTGTCATGTATGTAGTTATGCTTACCCGCGTAATAGCGATATACGCCGCCACTACCGGAAAGAGCACCAATGGAGAAGTGACTGGATAAAAGGAGGAAATATCAAGAAGAAACTAGAGGAGCCAAGACAGGTTCCGTAGGTAGAAGGGGTATAGTGCCAGCGATTTTTTGAGTATCGACAGGCAAGTCGGTGGTTTGAAGTATGCAAGCCCGTTGACCCGTTAAGCCATCCGGTTAGAGGCTTAGAGGGTGGCGAGGATGTTGCGGCAAAGATTATAAGGCTGCACCAAGAACAAGTCGACAAGTTCAATGCTGCCGAAGAGGACGAGATCAAAGTTGCCGACGAGAAGAAGGAGCTAAGTGCGTGGCTAGAAAGGACAGGGTGGGCAGACCACTTACAAAAATTCAAGGCAAAGAAGGATTTATTGCCACTGGCTGCCCCAGCACAAGAGGATGAGCCGGTGTTACAAGTGATATGCGACATATTTAATCGATTGGCTGATCACGCGAAGGCAGCAGCAGTACCAAGTATAGTCGGACTGGCCGCGCTGTATCAGATCGAGCGGAAGGAGATCCACATCAAGCCAAGCAAGCCATTCGATAATCGACTGGAAGATGAGTCGTGGGCTCAGTATAAAGGCTACTGGATAACAATGCTGCGTATTTGGCATCGTATGGACGGTCGGCAAGACGAAGACCGACCGCCATATAAGCTAACTATCCGGCAGGGTGACTTATGGGACGAGTTCGTGGAAGCTGCCGAAGCTGTTGTCGCAGGGCAGGCAAGGGAGAGGGGGTTGACTGATGAGAAGATGGAGCGGCTATGCTTGGATGCGTTAATCAGTATACTCGATCATCAGTTCAAACAAAGCCACTATGACAGTATCGTGCTCAGCGCACTAGCGATCATGGGCATCAACGAAGATGGCGGTTGGATAGAACCGACCGATTATACGCCGAAGTATTCGGGCGTGATCAAAGTGGCGCGTATGTTGGTAGTATACCAGTCATGGCACGAGCGGGAGGAGGACGTTGCCGAGAAGATGAGGACTATGGATGAAGACGAAGCTCGTGAGGAGGCAAAGGGGATGTATCGAATCGTACGGGAAAAGTCACAACGGTTTATAACGCGAGTATCAGAAAAGAACAACTCAGAACCGACACCGATGGACTGGATATTCGACGCACGGACATATAGAATGAAGATACGATATGCAACAGCAGCGGGTGGCACGATCGATTGGCGAGGTAAAGAGATCACATACCGGCAAGTGAGATTCACAATAGGCAGCTTATTAGAAATGTTCCACTTGCTTGTGCAGGAAGCTAGGTCGCTGCTATGCAAATTGACGATGGTGGGGGCACATAACTTGGAAGCGCTGCCCAAGATCGAGTGGACGAAAATGGAAGATGATTATAGCGAGGCTCGAGTGGGTTACTCGTTTTTAACTGACTCACGCAATGAATGGGTAGCAAAGGGAAAGAACTGGGTACTAAATCAGATTTTAGGATCTAAGAAGCGATAAAAGGAGTGGCTTTCGGAAGGGCCAAATGGATCATGCCTGTACAACATGAAGGCTATAAAGTCATATAGGCGGCTGGTAGAGCAATTCCGGGAAGTGCTGAATTTGCTATGGATTACACTTTGCGGCATGCCAATGCGAACAACTGAAGCAACAGGAGTCCGAATGTATAACACAGTAAACGGAGGGATACGCAACATTTTTACACATAGCATAATGCTGTTTTTTATGGTGTTATATCACAAAGGCTTCCGAAGGACAGGCTTAGCAAAGGTCATCCACCGGTACTTGCTGCAGGAGGTGAGTGAGCTGGTCATATGGTATATGTGGATCGTACTTGAGTTTTAGCAGTAAGTGCAGGGCATGGTAAAAGGGGGTGATCGGTGTAGTGCGTTTTTGTGGGCCGATAAGATTGTAAGCAGGACAGACGCTGAGGATAAAAGAGAGCAGAGAGAGCTACGAGAGCAAGAAGAGGATGATGGGAGAGTGTCAGTGCTGTTGCAGTCATATCAAGTTCGACGCGGGGACGACGTGGCTATTGAGGATATGGATCGCGAGGACGGGAAGGATATGCGGGATTGGATCAAAGAACGCAAGTGGAATTCGGATCAACTGCGACGGATTATGCAGAAGCATAGCGAGCGCTTGTTAGGCTGCCGGATGAACATCATTGCATGGAGAAACATTGCAATCGCAATCGCGAATTAATACTTAAATGCTTCGTTTGGGCAAGAAGAAGAAGGCGGGGATGGTGATGAGGATGAAATCGATGATAATGCGTGGGATCTGCAGGCAGGTTATGGAATGCATATCGCTGGGATAATATATGCGCAGGAGTTACAGCAGGGTTTATTCGAAACCGCAGCACTCCGAGAGAAATACCGCATTATCAGCCGCCAATAGCATAGATTTTTTGGCTTTAGGGTAGAAGATCGGCAGGGAACTGAATCAGGCATGGCAAAGAAGCGAAAGAGAGAACTGTACAAGGATGTCCAGGAAAAAACACGGTTCCGTCAATTCAAGCGGCTGCAACAGGTTAATATCATCGGACAGTTAAAGCGCATAATGGGTCCAGAAGCGGAATTCCGGGGTAATCAAGAAAAGGCGATTCGGGCCATTATCCGAGGCAAGAGTCGTATTGTGCAGGTCATGGGAACCGGTGGCGGCAAGAGCTTGTCATTTATGCTGCCGGCATTTTATGCATCCGACGGCACGACAGTCGTCGTCACGCCGCTAGTGGCACTGCGGAATAATATGCATGATCGATGTGCAAAGCATAAGATCACGTCATATATTTAGCAGAGCCAAGGGAGCAATCAGTCCGGGGCAAGTATTATATTCGTTACACCGGAATTGGCAGTGACAAAGGGTTTTTAAGACTTTGTAAACTGGATATTATCACGGCAGGCACTGGACTGCATTGTAATCGATGAGTATCACTCGGTTTTAGATAGCACAAGACAGTTCCGACCGCAGTTATTGCAGTTAGGCAAGGTTATGAATGAATAGGGCGTGCAAGTGGTGTGCTTAACAGCAACGCTTGCGCTAGACGATAAGCCAGAGTTTTTCAAAAGGATGAAACTTTCGAAGGATCATTTACTGCTATTCCGGGAACAGACAACAAGGAAGAATATCCGGTATCGCGTGGAGATTGTGGATAGTAGCAGTAGCAGTGGAAACAGCCGAAAGGGGCGCAGCGGTCAAAGTAGATCGAAAACGAGATGGACCGGCATCGATAATAAAGAAGACAAGCAAGAGGCAGAGGAAAACAAGAAGGTTTACGACATCGTCAGGAGCTGGATGAATCGAGGAGTCGACGGCAAGGTCATTGTATATGCAGAGTCAATCAACCGGGTAGAGCGACTAGGGCAAGGGTTCGGATGTCCGACATACTGGAATAAAGTGGATACGGAAGAAGGCAAGGCAAAGCAAATAGATGAGTAGATAGCGGGCAACAGGGACAAGGGCAGCTTAATCGTGGCGACAAACGCGTTGGAAATGGGAATAGATGTGCCGGACGTGCGTTTGGTTATGCATGCAGGTATGCCGCGGCAGTTGCGAAACTTTATGCAGGAAAGTGGGCAAGCTGGGCAAGACGGTCAAGCGAGCGAGGCAGTAGTGGTTTGCGGCGAATAGATAGCTGACGATGCGAAGGGAGGTCGACAGGATATAGCAAAAGCGGACATACCGAGTGTTGGTACAGGGTGGGAAGGATCGACAAAGGAGTATGTGAAAGGTGATGGTTGCCGTCGAGTGGTTTTGGACCGCGTGATGGATGGTCGCATGGATCGATGGGAGTGCAAGGAGGGAGAGCAGCCGTGCGATGTGTGTAAGAGACGCGGATTGGAACAGGTTATTGGGGAGGAAGATTGCGAAGATAGCGTGTTTAGTGCGACAGGAAATCAACAGGAGGCAACAACAGGAGCAATCGAGGACAAGTTTGAGCACACAAATCGGATCGGGAAGTATAGGCGATGGCAGACAGGACAACATATCATGGGTGAAGCACAAGAAGCGCAAGAGTTTAAGATGCAGCTAGAGAGGTGGTCCGGAAGTTGTGTCGTATGTCAGATGGGGTTAACTTTGAAGGATAGCGAGGAGACACAGCACGAAATGGCACGATGTCCGAATAGGGATGGCGAAAGGTGGTGCTGGATTTCCGATGCGATGGCAATGGTAGAAAAAGAATTATTTGAACAGAGGAGGATGGAGTTATTTTCGGGTTGTTTTGATTGCGGAATGCCGCAGGAGATATGCAATCGATAGGTTGCAGACAATAAAGATGGAGGGCGGTTTAGTCGAGTTAACGACTTACGATGTTAATATGCAGGATTATTGTTGAGGTTATATGCGGGGGTGTATGGATAGGATAGGGTTCGAGCGGATACGGTAGTGTGTGAAATGATAAGGGCGGATAATTTTAGCGTGGATAATGAAGGAGTAGATTAGATGTATCGGTGGCTAGGAGGTAGGGTAATGTGGGGAGGGATGGAGACGAGTCGATTTTATAGAGTGGTGTATAAGTTATGTAAAGAAATAGAAAAGGTTATTAGGGTGTAAGTAGAAAAAGGAATATATAAGTAAAATAAAGAGTTAAAAGTATTAGGAAGTAAGAGCATAGTATAAGGATAAATAGTAAGGTTTACAAAAGAGTAAGATATAAAGTAGGAATACAGATTAAGAGTAAGTATATATAAGTAAAGAAACAGAATATAGTATATAATAATAAAGACTGGTAATGTAGGTAATATTATAAAGGAAGTAAGGATATAGAATAAGTAAGAATATAGGGTAAGCAAGATGCAGGGTAAGCAGGATGCAGGGTAAGCAGGATGCAGGGAAGCAGGAATGTAAGTAAGTAAGTAAGTATATAGGGTAAGTAAAAATAAGATAGGGAAAAAGAGAGAATAAGAAAGATAATAAAGTAAGTAAGAATTAAGATTAAGATTAGAGAAAAGTTAAGGTAAAGTGTAAAAATTTAAAGTTATAGCAAAAAGGAATAATTAAAAGCAGTAACAAATATTAAAATAAATAGTAAAGAATAAATACTAAATATAAAAAGAATATAATAAGGAATATAGAAAATGCAGGGAAGCAGGAATGTAAGTAAGTAAGTAAGTATATAGGGTAAGTAAAAATAAGATAGGGAAAAAGAGAGAATAAGAAAGATAATAAAGTAAGTAAGAATTAAGATTAAGATTAGAGAAAAGTTAAGGTAAAGTGTAAAAATTTAAAGTTATAGCAAAAAGGAATAATTAAAAGCAGTAACAAATATTAAAATAAATAGTAAAGAATAAATACTAAATATAAAAAGAATATAATAAGGAATATAGAAA